CAAGGGCTAAATGTATCTTGTTTTCTGACCTTGATTCTATTTTATCTCTGTTTTTGGTGAGCTGGACAAAATCAAATACATTAATATGAAGTGTTCTATCACCAGGTTTAATACCAGCTCAGTCTTTGTCCCCCAGTCCAAGTACACTTGTGCTTCTTTGTGGACTTAAACACTGGCGTAGTCTTCTTGAAACCAGTGGGGCTGTGAGTGAAGAAGTGCCTATGTTCTCTAATGTTCAGAGAAAGCAGTTTTACAATGCACTTAGAGCTTGTCCAGATATACTTCCATAGTTTACATGGTCAAATTTTAAGTGTTGTTTATATCTTTTGGTTTTTTCTTCAGAATTCCCTTTTCATTCCTGGAGTTCAGTCAGGAGAGAATACCTAACATGACTAATATCCTTTTTCTTGTGAATAAGCAAATTGTACAATTTGCTTTGTAAAATCACTGACAACAAAATATTCCCTCCTTTGGGCTCATCTCAGAAACCTAATCTTTCTTTTTGTTCTCATACTTGAAATCTTTGTTTATGACATGTACATCCACCACCACGAGTACTGCAATTTCTTCTCTGTTCTTTCTCTACTTTCCAGCCTAGCAAAAGGTTGCAGTGGAAATCATGTGTCTTTCCAACAGGTGGACCAGATTTCTTCCTCTTCAGTATTCCTATTCAAAATCCTTTTGCCTCAAGTTTAGCTACCACCTCTCCTCAACGTTCATCCTGTCTCTGCACTTGCAGTTATCCCTTGTTCTCATTTCTCTTCATTCTCCATTTCATGCCACTTACTCTGCCTAGTCTTTTCATTCTACAGTTTCTCTGGGACCCTTCCTCCCTCCTCATTTTTGCATGGCTTTAATGCTGCCCTTCAACATGCACCAGAACTTCCTGCTCTTATACAGTATACAATATACAATGCTGTTTTCTTTCCGTTTAAACTTTCACTTCTTTTGCAAAGCCCACTAATGATAATTACCCATGTAATAGAACTAAATATTTTATTTAGCACATGTGATTTTTGAAAATGGAAGGCCTTTTGACATAGCCAGGTGTCACCTCTTGAAAAGTTGGTGCCTTTCTTTCATTCACCTGCAGGCTGTCATTCATACTTGAGCAGCTGACCTCACATTTTTGGCACATGGACTCCCAGAGAAGGGGAGAAAGCACAGTGCCCTGCTGCAGGTGGGTACATGCTGCCCACGGACTTGCACAGTCAAAAGATCCAGCTGAAAGGCGCAATCCCCAGCTACGGTGTAGCGTTGCAGATCCTCCCTTGTCAAACAGCCCCACATGCTTCCCTGCTTACATGGACTAGTGCATGTTAGGAGAGAAGAAATTGGAGACATTGGCCGTACAGACAGTACCTCTGTTCCCAGTTAGTCTGATGTAAAGATGAAGTTAATGGCTTGCAGCGATCAAGAGTCTATCCTGTACCTTGACATTCTCTGTAAGGGACTATAGAATCATAGAATAGTTTGGGTTGGAAGGGACCTTTGAACGTCATCTAGTCCAACCCCCACTGCAATGGGCAGGGATATCTTCAACTAGATCAGGTTGCTCAGAGCCCCGTCCAACCTGACCTTGAATGCTTCCAGGGATGGGGCACCTCTGGGCGACCTGTGCCAGTGTTTCACCACCCTCAGCA